CTGTCTCTTATACACATCTAGATGTGTATAAGAGACAGTATATATACAGTGTAGATAAATAAATATAAATAAAACTAAAAATGTCATATGCAAAAATATTTTCATCATAGATTATGTTTCTGTTAATTGGTATAGGACTTAAAGTTTTCTAAAACATTAATTCATTAATTTACCAGTGTAAACCCTAATAAATAAAATAATAATCAATTTTATATAGCGCCTAATGTTAATAACCTCCAGTATGTTGTCAAAAATGTTCATTCGTCCATGTCCTCCAGAGTGATAGAAACATTTTAAAATTCAACTTTCTGATTTTTAAATTTTTATGTAGATAGGGCCAGATATATTGTTAATGCTTTGAATCAGATTGAATTCATTAACATACCTATTAATAACAAAACCATATGTTAAACTTTAGTTAAGCGATCGTTTGTTAATAATACACTATAGTTTTATAGTGCTTCTTTTATGTTCTTTTTGCAAAATGTGTTTTGTATGCCTGCATAATTTTTATTATAAATTGCTGCCATCCCTGATCATGAACTTTTCTAAAGGTATATTTGATATTGTCACATTGTCACAAACATTTTCTGTTAAATACTATTTCATATAATATTTGAATAGTTTCATCTGGTTTGCTGTTATTGTTGTAGAACTGGTTTGATCATTAATAAACCTACTTATTAACCCTCTAGATACCGTCTTCGACTTTAGTCGAAATTGACCTCAAACCGAGAATTCCCATTTCGACTGCAATCGAAATTTAGTGACTAAAAAATAGGTGGTTTTGAAATCGCTCTTCTGTTTTTATTTTAGCTCCAATACGCATGCGTGAAGCTTTCTTCTTTCGAAATCTGTGAAGAACTCACATGCGCTTATATAAAAATGTTTAGAAATATCAATTTGAAATTGTTATTAATTTCGAAAATTTTCCAAAATGGCCGCACAAGATGTGTACACAGCTGAGGAAGCGATTGACCTGATTTTTGATTCAGACAGCGATGAAAGTGAGTTTTTAGATGTGTGAGACTTAGACGTGCCTGATAGCGATGATGACGGTGGGGCTTCAAGCAGTTCTGACGGCGGAGATGTTCTTGATGAAGATGAGCCTAGGCCTAGAAATGTGAGGGTGGTCGTTGCTTTTGAATGGAAA